TCTCCCAGCCAGTGTGACTTGCTTGAGGGCAGACACTGAACTCATGGTCCCCTCCCGCTCCAGTAGCACTAAACAGAGAGCAGGCAGGAGCTGCCCATCAATATCAATCCATTGCTCCAGCCTCTACCGCCACCGGTTGGATAGTCGGGGAGGGGGCAGACGGACTCAATAAACACCCTTGGTCCCCTCTTGTCCTCTGACGTCTCAGCGGCAGGCCTCTCTTGTCGGCTCCTCTTTCCACACAGCAAGGAGGAGCACCCCGAGTTCACGGGTCACCCCTGGACTAAGCGCTGACCTGTCTGGCCCTGGGCCCTCCCCTTCAGAGCCCCTCTTCCTTCGTGGTGCTGCTCGGGTTACCAGGGCTCAGCAGACTGCTGGGTGCGGATCCTGAAGGAAGGCGGGGGCCAGGGTCAGCAGCCCAGCATGACTGTGGCTGTGGGGCCTCTCCAAGCCCAGGCAGCGGAGGCAGAAGTGCCATTAAGATGCAACAGTGGGCGCTACCTGTCAACGCTTGTAGCTAAACAGGGAACCTCACGGATGCTCACATCACAGAATGACAGCCCAGAAAGTGGGTGGCCGTGGCCTGCAGGAGGAATGACCTGTTCCTGTGAGCTGGACCTGCCCTGCGGATGGAGTGGGGAGCTGGGACCCCACCTGGGATCCTGCAGCCCCAGACACTGCCACCACCAGCTGTCCTGAGGGGGCACAGCAGGGGGCTTTCAGTAAGTTGCCTTCAGAGCCAGGGAAGAGCCACTGGGACAGCCCCAGGGACACTCCTGCCGGGGACAGAGACCTTTCTTGCACAGCACCTCCCCAGGGTCACAGGACAAGGACTCCTGGGCAGGAAGGGACCTCCCTCCCAGGGCAGCAACTCTGCCCTCTTCCGGTCGTGCCCAGTCCTAGAGCAGGACCTGCCTGGAGCCCGCTCTCCCAAGTGAGTGCTGGCCACACTGCCCGGGGCGACCTGAGCAGGCGGAGGCCGTTGCAAGGTTGCAGGCCTTCCTGGTGCCAGGGCAGACCCTGGGCCCAGCGTCCTGCTATACTCAGCACACCTGTATACTCAGCTGCCGGCCTGGCCCCCCTAGGAGCCCGGAGGTGCGGAGGGCTGCAGTGTCCACTCTGGCCTGTACTGTGGAGGGCTGCACAGTGTCCACTCTGGCCTGCACTGTGGAGGGCTGCAGTGTCCACTCTGGCCTGCGCTGCTCAGGTTGGTGTCATTTCCCAGAGCTGGTGAAGCTGAGGACCTTGGGTGAAAAGCATGGCTGTGGCACTGTCTGCTCAGGAGGGACTGGGCACCCAGGGCCACAGCCCCATGTGGCTCAGCTACATCCAAAGCCCCTAATACCCTCTGCACCCAGCTGTTTTGACCCCAGGGTTGGTGAGCTGGTCCCCAGAACTTGCCTCCACTGGCTGAGCGGCACCCAGCTCCATGGGTCCAGGCTGCAGGGCTCTGTGCATGGGGTGGGATGCTGGGCCCCTCACTGAAGGACACCCAAGGTCCAGGGCTAGGACCCAGGAGTGTGTGTGTCTCCTGGTCCCCCTGCCTCAGGTGCATGCAGCTGTGACCGTAGGCAGGAGCAACTGGGAGAAGCAACACAGGTCCTGACAGAAGCCACTCCCATCTGGGCCCCCAGCCTGCACAGGGCCTAGGGTGGACCCCAGGCCCTGTGCAGGCCTCAGGGCTGGAGCAGGAGCCTCAAGTCCACAGGGACTTCTGCTCCTTGCCTGCGGCTTCAGAACCTGGAGTGGGGAGTCCTCCTGTTTGTGTTGCCGGAGGACTTGGTTCTTCCACATTTTATCTTTAGTTTTGGAAAGTACTGAGAACTTCTGAAACATCTGACATTTGATTTCATGTTTCTAATGAAGCTAATGCTAGTTTGAAACTCAAACGGCACTGGGAGGCTGTGGCAGGAGAGCTGGATCCTGGCGTGTGGCCCACGCTGCCCAGATGTCTGCACCCAGAGGGCCACGTGGCTGGCCAGCCCCTGGCCCCATGCAAGCTTCTGCACATGGGCTTCCAGCACAGGGTAGGACAAGCTCAGCCTCCTAAACGGCAAAAGCATGGAAAATACAGTGAACAGCAAACACGAGTTATTTGTGAAATATCAAATATCTTCCAACGAACCGATGAAGCCAGCCCTGGGAACACAGGCCCCCGTTGTACCTGTCCCCAGCGCCCAGAGGAGCCAGCGTCTTCTTTTGTCACGGAGCATGCCTTAATAGAATAACTAAGCTCAGCATTATTTCCTCTGCAAACAGTTTAACTTGCTTTCTGGATAGACAGGTACTGCCTGAATCAGAACTCCTCTGCTTAGAAAGTTGATCCACGTGGAATATGGAGATTCCTACTAAACACTGAAATACAGGCTGAGACAATTTAAACTAGTTCTTCACCATAAAATTACAAGATGAGGACTTGAGTTTAAGATTTTTAAAATGGGGCTGGAGTTGTGGTTCAGTGGTAGAGCACTTGCCTAGCATATGTGAAGCACTGTGTTAGAGTCTCGGCACTGCATATAGATAAATTAATTAGGGCTGGGGCTTAGCTCAGAGGCAGAGCGCTTGCCTACCATGTGTAAGGCACTGGGTTCAATCCTCAGCGCCAGATAAAAATAAGCAAATAACTTGTAGTTGTCCATCTACAACTACAAAAAAAAAAATTATAAAAAATAAATTGATTAAATAAAAGCCCATCAACAACCTAAATAATATTTTAAAAGAAATATTTTTAAAAGTGTAATTTTTCCAAAGGCCATTTTGGTAAAAGTGCTATTTACTGCACTTGCACTTAAGTTCCCTCTGTACTTCTTTCCTGAACACATTTGAGAATGGTGACCCTTTTCTTCTTTCGATCACATGTATACTTGAATGCATCTTATTTATCTTTTAATAACATTTTTTACTTATTTTCTTATGAGGTGCTGAGGATCAAACACAGTGCCTCCCACATGCTAGGCAAGCCCTCTACCACTGAGCCCCAGGCCCAGCCGGAATGTATTTTATTTTACTAGCCTATAATTACTCATTTGGTGCGCTCAAAGCCAATCAACTTTAACTCCATCAACCGTACACTACAGGCAAATTGGGCTTCGACTTGGCCAGTCCTGGACCATCCTGGATCTCCAGGCAGGAGCCAGTTCACTCTGCCACGGCCCTTCTCCCACACACACAGGTGAGGCGACACTGAGTGTGCTGGGCCTGTCTGCACCTTGGCCGGGGTCTAGCAGGGACCGTCTGCACATGAGTCTCAGAGTTCTCCTTTTCAGGGCTTAAAACAAAAGCTTGAGCTTATCTTCCATCAAATACCGAGGCCAGACACAGTTTTAATTTCTCCTAAGACCACCGAGTATGTTTCTAAACTGAGAATCTAATTCAGGCGAGGAGGAGGAAAAGGTGACGGATCAGAGCTCTGCCTGACCATCGGGAAAGTGGCCAGATTGCTCCTGCGATTTCCAACTGGTCTCCTGCGTTCTGCAGCAAACAGCTGACAAAGACCAGCAAGGCTCAGGTGGACACAGAAAGACGGGCCAGGAGAAGACCTCTGGGTGGGCAGGGGGACACCCACAGGGAGGAGCTGCGTGGGAAGGCGGAGGGCCCTTGAGCCTGCTGGACGATTTCAAGTCCTGTGACAGGATGCAGAATAGCAAAATAGGGTTGGAATGTTGCTCAGGAAAACCCACCAATACCGGCAAATCATTTCCCCAGACTCCCTGCATCCATACCTGAGCACCGTGAGGCTGGTGGGCTCACTTCTCACTAAGGAACAGAGTCTGGGGGTTTCTTGGGTGAACTAGAGGCTGGAACTTGGGGTCCTGCACGGATGTCCAATAAGAGAACACTCACTGGTACCTACTGCTTCTCAATCACAAGTAGAGCTTTTAAACTCCCAAACGTGTGACGTCTCACGCGGATCCCAGACCTCATGCTGCCAAGAGCTCTGAAGGTGCGTTGAACAGAAGGTGACCTCCCTCACAGGACACACTCAGGAGCAGGAGCAGCAGGGGCACAGGAGGGTCACGTCAAACGGCTCTTCCTGACGTGCGCCTGAGTGGGGAGTCTCCTTTCTTACAACGCAGGTGTGAGTTCCGCCCTCTGAAGGGGAAATGTCTTTCCTGGTCTCTCCTCCTCCCCCCACAGAGCAGGGGAGGGCAGGACCCTTTCTCCTGGTAGTCAAGGTCACAATGCGAGCTGCCCTTGACACACCAAATGCAGACACGTTCTGCGTCTTACCTGATGGCAAAAGACCTGCCGGTTCTCAACACTGTGGTGACCTTTGTCTCTTAGATATCTCTATCCCCACGTGAGCCAGGCTGTTGGCATTAAAAGTCAGGTTCCTTTAAGTCAAGCTAGAAAGAGCACAAGTGGAATCAGTGAGTAGAAAGGCCACGAAGGAGAAGTGAAGCCGTGACTCATGCTTCTCCCTAAGAACCCTCATTTATAGATCATTCCAGAATTCAGGAATGTGTGTGGGTGACAGAATTTCTACGTTCACAAATCATCACATTTGGGACTACTGGAATTAAACGTTTATTTCCACATTTAATCATAGACAGCAATTAACTCAGTAGGAATGGGTTCTCCACCTCTCATTCCACAGGCACAACCTGTGAGCTGTCCAGGTCCATCCTTGGTGACAAACACAGACACCGGCACCTCTTCTTCCTGTCGCACCAATGTCCTCATTTCCCACCAGTTTGCTCCTGTGCCCACTGACTGCCCCGTGAGGCCCAGGGGTGCGTCAGAGGCGCTGGCCTGCAGTGCAAGCTGAGACCCCGCAGAGCAGCAGGCCAGGCGTGCGGGCTGTAGGCCAGCACCTGACACCCAAAACGCCGAGGCTGCCAAGCCACAGAAGCAACGACCGTCACTGTGGCCGGGCACTCTGAAGATGGTCACGATCCTGACCAGAAGCTGGGTGTGTGCGTGTATGCAGTGCAAGGAAAAAACCCACACCATTTTCTAATGAAAATTTCTAATTCATTCTAAAAAAAATGCAGCAAGCATAATGTTCACAGAGTTCAGTTTTATTTTACCTTCAGTGCAACGGCACTTGAAAAAATCAGTAAAGTCCAATTTTTTAAAAATCAAAGATACAAACACATTTTTCATGGTCCCAAAATGATTCCATGTAGTTTATAGAGCAGTTTTTATAATAGATTTTTCATTTTATGAAATAATATTCTTAGGTAACCATATTTACTCTCTCTATATAAATACTGCCATTATTCTGTCTAGAGTATTTTTTAGGGAAAAAGGTGGACATTAGTGTAGTTATTTTTTAGAAACAGGGATTTTCGAAGTGGAAAAGACTTGAGAATCCTCAAACTCTGCCATCTTGTTAGCTAGGGAAGCAGCGTGGGATGGTGCCGTCAGCCCAGTGCCCTGCAAGGCATCTGTGGAGCTGGCCGTGGAGCTGGAACGCAGGGAGGCCAGGTCCACCCGCGCCGCCCACCTAGCATGAAACACTGGGAAACACCTCTGCTGAGATTTTGTTTTAAAGTCTACCATTTGTAAAGAATGTTAAGAATATCCCATATTTCCCTTTTAAGTGAAAAGTGAAAGAATGTTTTCCTACTATCAGTAGGTCATCCTGTGGATCACCGCTAACACTGCCCATCATGAGCAACCTGACCCTCCGACACACCCTGCTCTCTAGGAAGCTCTGGGCTGGGAGGCCTTCCAGAGGGCCAATGGATGCTCGCTGGGGATCTGAGGGCCAGGATGAGCGCCAGCACAGGCTCCAGGTCAGGGTGTGTGATGGGGACAGGCCCGAGAAGGGTCATGGTGCAAGCATCAGCTCTGCTGTGTGTGCCAGGATGCGTGTGATGAGCTGGGGTGGCTGGCTGCAGACACACACGCAACCCAGTGAGAAAGCAATGCCCGACGTCTGCCGCCGCTTTGTGAAACAGATGGCCCCGCCACATGCAGGGGGCAGGCGGGGCACGCTTGCCGCCAGGCTCCCGTGGCGGAAGCTCCATGGTCCAGAGTCTACATGCAGTTGCTGATCAGCCCTTTGACGCTGCTGTTGACCTCGTTTTAGAAGTCTCTGTAGTGAACTTAGGAATATAGACAATTTTTATGGTTTGTGGCCATTTATGATTATTTGACCAGAGTTTAAGTGACTAGAGTTGGCATTGGAAACGGGTCCCCAGTTGTGCTAAACCCACACACCTCTGAGGATATTTTTAAATACAAGAAGTAAACCCCCTTTCTCCTGCATTTTACTGTATTTTAATTATTCTAAACGGCTATAGAATCTTTGCTATTTCCTTATTTTAAAAATTTAGTTACTATCTGATTTAGTTAGTTTACGTTGATAATTTCTAGTCCTGCATTGAAAATCAACATGGGTTAATTTCTAAGGCTTATTAAGTCTGCCGAAGATGGGTCTGGGTCAGCTAACTCAGCAGTTGGTACTGTTTTCATTCCTAAAAGAACCACCCAGCACACCCCAGGCAGAAAGCACTGTGGCTTCCAGCTATGAGTCGTCATTTATTTAAAAAAAAATTTTTAAAGGAAAAATGGATCACATACCATAAAACCCAGGATCTATTAAATTATTTAAGGCTGTGAGTCTGACCGACTATTATCTGGGAGAACAAAGCTTACTTTAAAATAAAGGACTTGGAGCAAGATGACGTAGGGCCGGGCCGGGCCAGAGGACTCCCGGCTACGGCCGCCCCAGGCGCTGCCCTGGCCCTGCTCACACACCTCCTGTCGTGTGCTCTGAGGGGCACCTGCTGGGTCAGGCGACCCACGGCTGGTGTTTCGCAAATGCTGTGGCAGGAGGCAATTCCAGCGCATTCGCTATGAGCAGTGCCGAGACCTAACAGGTTGTCCCGTTTCTGCTACGTCTTCTTCCACGGTAGATTTGAACAAAGATCCAGTTAGGAGAACACACTTTTATTTTGGAAAATGAAACAAAATCTAAACCAGTCGAAATATGCTCAGCTATCACTTTCATCTAAGCCATCAACCCTTGCTGACTTTCCTCTTAGAAACACCAGGGAAACACCGCGAGCGATTGTCACCTCAAACACCACTTTTTCATGAGAAGAATCAAGGAACGCAATTCAGAAATAATGTTACATCCTGCATTTTATTCAGTTCCATATGACAAAAATAGTAACCTAGACTAAGACATCCATTTCAATCAGGAGATGTTCAAGCCACAAGATTTAATCATAAAAAATATCAGATCTAGGTCATTATCCCAGCTGGTCCCGGAGGCCTTGGCCCTAACGGTGCTGCAATATAAAAATAGGGTCTCTGCACCAGCTAGGGTCAGCCCGCCGGGCGCGGGGGTCAGGCCATGGCTCCCTGACAAGCCATGCACGCTGATGTTTCTCTTAAGATATATACACATCTTTTTGAAGGGAAGGATACGGACACGGTACCAAATCGACTGGAAGGACACATGAACTCAGAACCCCCGACTGCAGAAGCAGCCGCACCAAGCCTTCCCCACGCCCAGACACGGCCACACCTCGCCCTGTGGGAAGCTCTCCTAGAGCCCAACGCTCCCTTCCAGACACAGGGACAGCTCATGGCCTGTGTGCAGCACGGTGCCGCGTGACGGACGGCGGAGAAGCCTTCTGCTGCGTGACGCAGGTGTCAGGCTTTTCTATTTTTCCTGTTCAACTGAGAAGCCTCACTGTCTGGTTGGTTCCTCGGGGGCAGACAATTCCTTGCACCGTGCCCCAGCCACCCTCAGACCTCCTGAGCACTCGTGTCCTCGGCAGTCATTGAGTCAGGTCCCAGCATGCAGGCCACGCACAGAAATGAGGTAGTCACACAACACGGGCGCTTGGGCTAGAACCGCCACCCTCTCTCACTGGGCGCAGCCCAGATGGTGACCAGCTTCAGGCTGCATCCTGAGTCTACAGAGGAACTCAGAGAATGAACAAATCAGGAGCTCAGAAAATCTCAGTCCTGCTTGCCAACACTGCCAGAGACTTGCCATCTCTTGATCACCCTATGCGACAGCCAGTGCCACCAGGCAGTCAAGGAACCAGAGAGGGACAGGGGCTCACAGCAGAGCCACAGGGTGCAATGCTCTCCCGCTCATCTCCTGGGCGGATGCCACAGGCCTGAGACTACCTCGCCAGCTTCTTTAAGGTGGTCACAGCTCTGACGAGGGCTTGACAGAGAAGTGAAATGAACCTGGTGGATGTAGGAAACGGCAGGCCTGGGTTACTGAGGTGTGCAAGGTCCTGGTGAGGTCCTGCTTACGAGCGCAGGTTCCTCACGCTGCTGGACCTTGAGACAAAATGAGAAACCACAGCCACTGTTTTCATTTTTCCTCAACTGTAGAACTATTTATAAAATACTTTACATCTTTTTAAATTTTCGAATTATAGACAAACCTCCCTAATACAAAATACTAAAAGTGCAATTGTATAAATTAAGAGTTTGCAACCACATTATACAAACATTACCTTTTTATTGTACAGCTTTGATAACGTAAAATATTTACTCACAACTATTTATAATGTTGTGAATAATAATTTATGGTGATGTTTGTCTGTAAATTGTTCCCCGATCAACCACTGGGCTACAGACCACACTAGAGAACAACTGTCCACATAGCAGCTACAAACATTTAAATTAAAAAAAACAAAAAAAGGTGGGGGGCTTGTTACCAACAGGTACTTGCACACAAAAAGCATGCTATCTTTCCCAAGAGGACGCCACGAGTTTGCCTGCATTGAAGTAATCCACTTATTTATAGTGAAACAAATTTTGCTTAAAAAAAAAAAAATCACACAGCCAGATGTATTCTGCAGTACAAAAGCTTCATTTAAGGTTGGGGCTATTTTATTGTCTGTTACCCGCATAATCTTAACATTATAAATACTACGGACAAAGATACTGTCATCATACACGGCATTGGGAATACAGAACCACCTCTGCAAGACAAAGAGCTCCTGAAACAGTTCAAGTTTCTGTTAATTCAAACAAAACCATCGCATGGGGTTCACTGGAATAATGCAGGGGACCCCATTCTCCCTTCCAGGGTTATTAGGTTTCAAGAGAAACAAATGGATATGGTCTGAGCTCTTTCTGTTTCTAAGGTGGTTTTCCAAGCACTTCTGTTTTTCCACTGAATTTAGAAATTTATTCAAAAGGTTGCAGAATTCTTAAGAACCGTCAAACCCACTGCCGAGGGAGGACTAGGCAGCGCTTACCAGACCACCTTCTGGCAGCCACATGGGCAAAGTACGTTCTGCCACCGGCATGACTTAATGAGGACCTAGAAGGGTCCGAAGACTGATGATCACACTGCAGAACGTGGGCGTGGAAGGACAGCTGGCCATCGATGCCCGCAGCTAGTTTATACCAATTTCCTTGTTGTCCTCAATGAACCTGGTGAACGGGCGGCTGGCGCCGGTCTCAGAGCTTGCTTTGTCCAAACTGACGCTGGGTGGGCTGCTGCCAGTGCGTGCTTTGTCCATGCCACCGGTCATGGTGCCCAAAGGTGGAAGAGCACTTCCACCTAGACTTACGGGGAGCTGGGGGATGCCCCCGTTCTGGATGACAGAAATCTCGTTGTTCTTCATGGCCAGCCCGTTTGTGATGGCTGCAGCATACTGGTTCCAAAAGCTGGGGTCCACATTCATGGCTCGGGCTGCCAGGTCCTTCTGGAACATTTCAGAGAACTTCAGGGCATCGCCCCCGAGCAGGGCCATGGGGTTTTCCACTGACAGGCGGCGGCCACGCCTCGCGGGAGCGTTGTTCCACATGTGGGTCCCCATGTGTACCTGCGTGGGACATGGAGAGACAAGCACAGTGAGCTCGACCCGGGTGGCGAGCAGGTGTGTCCTGCCTCCACTGCTCCACACGATGCCCGTCCCACACATCAGCCAGGGACGGCAAAGCAGGTCAGCTTTCCTGACCACCTTACAGGGGCTTCCAAGTATCAGGTTGCAGTGAGAAAACAGAACCACAGCATGAGGACGTGTTCTTTAGCTAACAAACCCGACAGACATCTCTCCCCCCACGTGAACCCACAGGCCACAGAGAGCGTTCCAGAGCTGTAGGATAAAAGGTCCCACCCACCGCTACTCAAACCGCCTTGTACTTGAACCCTTCCTTTGTGCCTCTCTCCTCTCCAACAAGGAGGCATGGATTCTAAAACCTCCTAGCGCCACCCGTTCTGGGGGGCTCTTGCCTGTCAACGCTTGCCCAGTGTAGAGGCCACACCTGCTGGCCTCTGACTGTCTGAGGAGATAGACCCAGTCTCCGTAGACACACCTTACAAATGGAAGCCTGAGCTGGCACAGAGTCGGGCCTGGGAACCGGCAGCACATGGTCCACAGCCGTCTCCCGAAGGAGATGCATGTGACTGTAGGTTTGGTTTTTTTTTGGGGGGTGGGCACTGAGGATCGAGCCCAGGGGCACTTTACTGAGCTGTATCTCCAGCACTGCTGCCTTTTCCTTTTCAGACAGGTGTCACTATGTTGCCCAGGAGGGCCTGAACTTGTGATCCTCCTGCCTTATCCTCATGAGTTGCTGGGGTTAAAAGGATGTGCCCCCCACACCTGGCTACTGCAGTCTTCAGTAGGGACACACAATGGCCCGCACGTGCTGGAAGCCTGCTCACCCAGCACCCCTCCCACAGGCCCTTGCAGTCACAGGGACACAGACCCTTCTACAAGTTGCACAGCAAATCTCATGTGTTTTATCCCTGATACACCAGAGCTTAAAATTCAGTTTATTTTGTTATCCAATTCAAGAGTGCCTCGAGCTCTGGCCCTGCCCTCTGGGTTGCCAAGCGCACACCATCCTCCTAGGCCCCAGAGCAGGCTGAGCCTCAGAGGCAGGTGCACACGCCGCTGGACGGACCCAGGCTCCTGTTGGTCCCCGAGTAGCTGGCAGGATGTGCACCTGTGTGTGCATGTGGACACACGCACCCCCCCCCCACCCCACACACGCACGCACCACACCCACACAGCCCTGGCACCGCATCCCCAGGGCCAAGGCCGGGAGAATCTCTGCCATCACGCCAGGGTCGGTGGTGCCGGGAGCTGCCCGGTTCCCTCATGGTCCTGCGAGCCTCCAGCCTGTGGCCCTCTTACCTTGAGGTTGCCCTTGGTGGTGAAGGCCCTGCCGCAGATGGTGCAGCCAAAGGGCTTCTCCCCAGTGTGGGTGCGCTCGTGGATCTGCAGGGCGCTGGCTGAGGAGAAGGTCTTCCCGCAGGACTGGCAGTTGTGCTGCTTAGGTGTCCGGCGTGGCGGGGGTGCCAGCAGGGGCGCCAGGCCTGGGCTCATCACTGTCTGTGGCCCAGTGGGGACCGGGACCCCAGCTGGCAGCGGCGGGCCCTCGCCCAGTGCGATGGCTTTGCTGTGACCGTTCACTTCCATTTTGATCATGGTGGGTGCAGGGCTGGAGGCCAGGCGAGGAGAGCTGTGGCTGGGACCTAGAGCAAAGTTGGGGTCAAACGCCTGAGAAGGCAGCCCTCTCAATTCGTGGGTCAGTAAGTGCTGTTTTAAATTACCCAGGGTGGAGCAGCCCCGCCTGCAGACGGTGCAGACAAAGGGCCGCTCCTTGGTATGGCTGCGGTGGTGGATTTCCAACGCGCTCTTGCAAGCAAAGGGCTTGCCACAGACACCACACACAGTGCTTGTACAAGTGCTGGCACACTTACCCCGCTCCCTGCTCAGGAACAGCAGGCTGAAGGGAGCCTCCTCCTTGATGACCGGCCGACTGGGGTGGCCAGCAGTCAGGTCTAGGGCGCCTCCATTTCCTGGGCCGGGGGGTGGGCTGTCTGGCCTCTCGGTCTTTAGCGGGATCTCCTGTGGGTCCTCCTGGTGGCTGAGGCCCGGAGACTTGGAACGGAAGCTCTCCCCATGGCTAGGGGTGGGTGACAGTGCCTGGGAGGAGGAGGAGGAGGACAGAGCAGGGCTGCCTGCACTGCGGCTCTCCAGGTCGCCCACAGCGGAGGACGAGTCGTTGCTCAGGCGGTCACTCTCCCCAGACCCGTTTTCCACGGACTTCAAGCCAGTGAGCTGCGGACAGTTCATGACAGAGTCCATCATCTTCATCTGGTTCTCCAAGGCAGCGATGCTGGAGATGACGGAGGGTGGCGAGGGAGGGCAGGACCCCGCGTAGGTCAGGAGCGGCTTCGAGTCGCTGGCTGAGTCCTTCAGCTCCGCGTCTTCCTCCATGGAGTTGTCATCGATGTCATCGTCATAGCTGCTCAGGGTCTCCGCGGTCTTCTCCTCAAAGGGCAGCTCTGCGTCCAGGGCGTCCTGGAAGCCCTCCGGCAGTGGCGTGTTGGGGATCTGTCCTCCCATGTGCATGCGGATGTGCTGCTGGAGCACCACTGCATTTGTGAACTTCTTCTGACAGATGGGGCAGGAGTGCTGCACCCGCAGGGGTGGCTTCGCCCGGTGCACCCCAAAGTGAGTCTTGAGGTTGCCCTTGGTGGTGAAGGCCCGCCCGCAGATCTTGCACTTGAAGGGCCGCTCCCCCGTGTGCGTTCTGTAGTGCATCTTCAGGGCACTCTGGCAGCTCAGCACGCGGTGGCAGATGACACACTGATTTGGGTCTGTCATCTTCTTATCGATGTTCTCCACCAACTGCTGCAGCTTCGAGGTTTCTGACGTTTGCATAGAGTCAAGCAGTCCCCCAAAGGGAAACTGGGCCTTGAACTGGTCAGAGACTGCTGGGAGACCAGGACTGCTGAGGCTCGTGGAGGCGCTGTCTGTGACCGCCGTGGCCGCTGAGGTGGGCCCTGCACCCGCCTGCCCACCAACTGGGGTGTCCCCTGTCCTTGCATTTGTGCATGGCAGGTTGACAGGCTCGGTTTTAGTCAGAGAAGAGCCGCTGAGGAGTGGCTGTGGAGACTCAGATGTCACTGGGATGCTGGACTCTGCATTGTTGAGGCCCGGGGACAAGGAGGTGCATTCGCTGGATGCGGGAGAGGGCCTCTGCGGGGAGCGGCTGACGGGGGTGACGCTGGGGGAATCGGTGTAGCTATGAGCACTGGGGACTGTGGGGGGCAGCTGCAGCCCCACTGATGTGGGCACTGTGGGCAGCACTGGCTTGCTATCGAGCCAGGTGGTTACTGGCTTCTCTGGGGGTAGTGACATGCCATAGGGAATCCCCGAGCAAGTGGGCACATTGTCGAGGTACTCTGGAACTGGATAGGGGTTCATCTGGATGTGGGGGTACTTCTCCTTATGCCTCTGGAAGTGCACCTTCAGGTTGCCTTTGGTGGAGAAGCGGTTCCCGCAGATGTTGCACTTGAAGGGCCGCTCACCAGTGTGAGAGCGCAGGTGTATCTGCAATGCACTGTCGCTGCCAAAGACCTTGGCACAGAACCTGCACTTGTGCTTGAAGAAGGGGTCCTCAGCGCTAGCCTTGGGCTCGAACACCGACACATTTGGGGGCTTGCCTTTGCGGTGCTTCATGAGGGCGGACAGTGGGTCCAGAGCGTTGGCGGTGGCAGCAATGCTGACCAGCGGGTTGGGGAAGATGACGCTGCTGGAGGAGGTCTGAGGTAGCAGAGGGTTTGGCAGGCTGGAGGCCGAGCTGAGGAGGGGGGCTGGGCCCAGGGCCGGGGGCGTGGATGCATTCTGCGGCTGTGTCATGCTACCCACTGTGCTGGGCACCGTGGACCCCAGGGCAGGGGCTGTGCTTGGGGCTGCAGACACCACGGACTCCATGGGCCCAGTACCACCTGGAGTGCTGGCACCTGACGCTGGCTGTGACAAGTGCTGGGGGCCCTCGAAGGCAGGTGGGGCTGCCTGGCCAGAGCCTGCAGGGACAGGGGCCGGCCCAGCAGAGAGTTGTAGGGCCGGGTGCGGGGCCAGGCCCTGGAGCTGGCCGGAGGTCTGGGCAGGAGTGCCAGGGGTGGTGGGGTTCAGTGGCGGCCTGGCGGGCTGGCGGCTCATCAGGGCCACCTGGCTGCGGATCTGCTCGATGAGCTGCAGCTGGTGGATCTGCTGCTGCTGCAGAGCCACGAGCTGCTCCAGGATCATGGGGATGGCGACCGCGCCCACACTGCCTCCGGCTGTGCCAGCTGCGCGCGCGCCCTGCGAGAACTGAGCCACAGCCACCTTGGTGCTCAGCAGAGTCTCCAGCGTCACGTTGGTGCTGGGCATGCTGAAGGCAGCAGGGGACCCTGGGGGCAGCACTGGGGGCACAGCGGGTGTGCCTGGGCCCTGCAGGCCCTTGTCCCCGGGTGTCTCCACATCCATGGGCTCGTCCTCCGGCTCCGGGGCCTTCACCTCGCCGCCCTCACCGCCCTCCGCGGGGGTGGCCTCCTCGGTGGCCTCGCTCTCCGTGTGGTCGCTGGGCGAGCTGGCGGGAGAAGGCTCTGGGAACTCCTCAGAGGGCGGCGCCGGCTCATCCTCACTCACGATGAGCACCGGTGGGTTCTTGGTGCAGCTCTTCTGGTGCTGCAGGAAGTCTGTCCACTTGAAGAACTCCGCGCAGCAGGTCTGGCACACGCTGGCCTCCTCGCCGCCGCTCCTGCTCTCAGTCCCGCTGTCCACGTCGTCGGTGCCTTCCCCGGGGACGCCTAGGAAACCGAGAGATTACATCAGCGGGCTCGCCGGACAGCCCTCCATTTCAAAATTTTGCAGACAAGTAAAATCAATAATTTTTATTTTGTACAAATTACCCCACTTCAACATTTCTGACGGCCCAGCGTGTGTGTTCTATGACTCTTTCTAGCTAGCTAATCATTTTCTTAGCACAATCCATCAAATTATGAGGCTCTATCAATTGTGGATACTGCTTCTTAATGAAATTCCATAGAAGCCATTGATTTCCAATATTTTCATACAATCCGCAGCTACCCTGTCTGTTGGTACAAAGCCAGCTTTCGATGGGCTCATTAGGATTCCCCTTTACCATCGTGCTTCCTCATTTCCAGCAAAATTAGAGATGCCTTTGCCAGTTCACTTAATGCTGCTAGACTCATCCGCAACCTTTCCAGCACATCAGCCGGACGGCGGAGCCAGGCATGCTGGTGTGGTGGCCCTGTGTGGATTTATTATCTTTCTACAGGGCTGAGACGCACAGACTTTTTATGTGATTCTATACAACCTTTTGAATCAATAGGCATTTATTTCATGTAGGAAACGTCACCTAAATACTTTCATTTGTAAATGTAACAAAGAAAATATAAGCATTTCTTACATTTCTGCTCAGAACAGTCTCTCCTGGCTCGAGAGCTGGAGCGGCCCGGCCACTGGCATCTTCTGTCCCTGGTACTTCCCTTACAGAAGGGGCACATTTCTAGACTTTAGGACTTGCCAAATGAATATCAATATAGGCTAGCCCTAAAATGAATCATGTTTAATACAATTAATTGGCTGTCAGATGCAATATTTCTTGGCAAAATGAACTAAAATTACATGTTATTGTGATTAGCCAATAGAGTTTAGCCATTTGTTAACAAACTAGAAATTATGTATTTAAAGTTCATTTACGTTGACATGTTCAACATGAGAATGCTGTAGTCAGACACACTTTTTGTACCTATTTTCATCTATTCTCATAGAAAGACTTAGCAAATTATATGCTTGTGCGGTGGTGGAAAGCCCTCTAATTGGTTACACATGTTTAATTACTGTTGTAGGCAGCTACTTCCTCTGTCTCCCCTTACCCTCTTGTGCCGAATAACAACCGTATTTAATGAACAACTCTAATTCACACCTGATCAAATAAAGGCCTTTCAGGACCGAGGGAATCGACACACTCCCGCTCTGGCTGCTGCCTCTGGGTGTCTCAGTGGGTAGTGATGCCCAGGCACTGCATGGTTCTGTGTGGCAGCCTGGGTATCACGGATTCCTAGCTGCTTTTTGTCAACTTGGAGTGACGGCTGCAAATCAGCTCTTTGTTCAAGATGCACAGTTGACTGTGAGAACAAAACACCCTCATGTCTGTCCCCGGAAATAATTCACAGTTCTAACATCATATGGGTATTTGCTAAAACTCTCTAAAATCATTTCCTTTAGGTTTTTGGACAAATAATTCAGCACAGAGTTCAGCAGAATGATTTTTTTAAAAATATACTATAAGAAAACATTGTTCCTCTCCTGGAAAAAAAAAAGGGAAAAATATATTTTGAGGTTGGTCTGCTGCTCCACAAGGCCATTATTTCCAGGTAATTTATACATGCCTTTAAAAAATTATTAGCAGCATTCAATTAGCATTTTCTTAACTGGCCAAGCCATTTGAAGGGGAAGAGAAGTTAGAGCCGGCAGCTCATAAAGCCTGCTGGACTTCCAAACTGAATGCGCAGCGCGGAAGACCGGGCTGCAGCAAGGAGCCTCATTACAGCGAGGAAGGAATGTAATAGGTATCTGTAATGAGGCTCCGCGACTCAGGCTGCGGATAGCGCAGCAACCGAATCAACACCCACAGAATTCACGCAGAACTCTTTGTAAGCCTGCTAAGGTTACGAGCAGGGCAAAAACTAGGATCTTCAAGTGAATAATTTCTTAATGAGTGATAAGAAATGAGGACCACTTCAAATTCTAGTGATGATTTTAAGCATTTTCACAAAGTGCCAAGGATTTCTGCCTTGAAATCTGTTTTTAGTTAATTGTGGAAATGTTCTTCTTCAGACCCCATATTGAAAAATTAATTGCTGAAGCAAACATTTTAAAAGTTCATCTGCATTAAGCAAATATATATCTAGAAGGAACTAAACAAGGGCTAGACTTTTAAAAAGTAGTTTTCCAATATTTTAAAGTTATCATATAAAAAGTATTAACATTTTTAAAAAGGAAAATCCCAACAAATTAAAAAGTGCTAATTCCTTGAAATAGTTTCTGCAAGTAGCACCTTAGAGAAAAAATGTATAACTTGTATGATGTACAAAGACATTTACATGGTATGTAAATTTAAATTTTACAAAATTAAACTACATTAAAATGATGTTCTCTTTTTGTGGCATACATATTAGGGGCAGTTTACTGAGAAAAAGCTTAAGAATTAGGTCGATTTCTGGATCATTTAAAGTGAATTCAGTGTGGAAAGAATTAATTTACACCATTAAAGCATCTCTCTACAAATGAACATGTCCCACATTTTCTTGGTAACCAACTATAGCATATAACACAGAGAAACACTTAGTTTTGCTTTTCTCAAAAGTCAAGACTCAAATAAATCTCTATCTACCTTATAGATTTGCATTTTTATATTCACATTAGCTTTTTTATGTGTTAAATATTTTGGGGGTTCACTTCCAAATGCACAGGAGTTTGAAAGTGTTTCTGCAGGTGACCTCACCTTCTCCACCATTGGCAGGGTGGTAAATTACAACTGCTGCTCAGTTGCTTCAGCGGCACAGAACAGTTAAGCACTTTCTGTCAAGTAACAAGTCATTTTGTTTCATGTAATTTTAAGTGACAGTCACCTTAACGCAATGAAGATATTCTTGTCAAAGTAAAATAATCTTCCACTTACATTCCTTCAACATCGAAGAAGAAAATTGTGAAACAGCTTTCTGACCATGTGGCCCTGTTAACAGCCCAAGGAAGGTGGGAAGCTGGTCGACAGCAAAGCTTCCTGAGAAATGTGACTTCTGACTAAAAGATACCGGGAAAACAACAATTGGGAAGGAGAAGAGTTTTGATACAATTCAGATTTCTTACTTTGGGCAAAGAAATTAGAATCACCACTTATGATTTCTGCTGGGGTTTGTGTAGAGTACCAGTAACAGGATTATCTCAACTGTTCTTCCTTCCAGCCTAAGCTACAATTGTGTGATCCAAGTGTGGAGTGAGCAGCATTCCGTGAAAGTACAGAGAAGCAGGAAAGTCCTAAGATAGTCCTGAACACAAATAAAAACGAGTCCTTCACACATGGGGTAGAAATCTTGTTTGCATATTTTAAGAATCGTTATTAAACAACAACAAGCACTTCAATTGATTGGCAGGAAATACTCAAAATGAGTCCGTTTTCCTACCGACAGAGCTCTTTAGAAGCAGTCAGACATTTTACAGATGTGCAGAGCACAAGTGTTGACCTGTGGTACATTCCGAAAAGAGAGAGAAATAAGTTTTATAACTTGCTTCCATGGCTTTTCTCATTATAATGTGAATTATAATATGTGCTAATCTGGTTTCTTTATTTTTAAATGTATATGTGTATAATGTATATGTGCTAATCTGGTATTCTTTCTTTATTTTTAAATGCATTCCATAATAAGAAAACCCAGAGAGGAGGACTCTGAATGCAGTTTACAATTTATTTTATCATGGAACTGCTAAAGCCCTTTAATCCTACATCATTAAAGCCAATATTATGTTGGATTCAAATGTATTTAACCATCTTTTAATTAAACTTACATTTTGAACTAGCTGCTATTCTCTAAAAATAGCAGTTATTACATCCATTAGTTAATATGGCTTGAAACTTTTATTTCAAAGTAGAGCCTTGCCAGGGAGGGACTCTACAGTAGGACCACAGTGAGGAGTCTGGGAAACTCATCACCAATACAATTTTCATTTTCTTTCTCTCCTTCTGTAAGGGGGGATTTAAAAATAGTCATCGTAAACATCATTAGTGTCAAAGCAATTTATTTTTTGCCTACTGATTGTTCGACAACTAAGAGATTTGAAACCATAAATAGGGAGAGGATTAAGTGGGCATTTTATGGTACGTAAGGGTTATATTAGAAAGGCAAGAAAAATGCCGACCAGTTCCTGAGTATTTCTCCCAGCCAAGACTCTTTCTTTCTTGGCAGATGGAACAGCTGGTCAAGGTTACTCTGAGGATGGCTGGTGGAAGGGCTGGGAACCAGGAGTGGCACCACCTGCCACCTGTGCTGCCCAGGCTGAGCACGCAGTCACTCTGGCTTGGTTTACAGTGAGCCAGCAGATGCTGTTTATACTTAACATCTTCAGGGTTTCTAACTCCGTCACCATCCGTGTGTTCTTGGGTGATCAGCAGCTTCTTCCTTGTGTGGGGGGGAGCCAGCCTTTCAAAGAAAACCTTGAACAAAAGGGCAGCTTGGAAGGCAGTGGTTTTAAAGTACACATGTTCTTTTACACGCTGAAGACGCAGAGAGAATGCTCAACAAAACGGAGGCTGTGCCCCGGCTGAGGAAGAGCCCCACCCAGCCCCGGGTCTGACTCCTGGTCTGTGGCAGAATACTCAGGCTTCTTGCTTCTGCAGTCCCCGAAGAGCACACTGAAGACAGGCAGAGGGTTAAGCCATGGTGATAAAGCCACAAGTGGAAAACACTGTTGTGGTATGTAGGACTATTTGAGCATGTGGTCGTTTTTTTTTTTTTTTTTAATTTCTAACTACACTTCTTAGCAAGGTTTTGCAGAATCTCTTTTCAGGAGTACAGTTCCTTGTAAATAAGCCACTAAGTACAAAGCAGTAGTAAAATAGGGGTTTCACAATTTCGTTTTTTTACCTTTTCTCTGCTACACTTTTGCTACATATTTTAAATTTACTACAGTTAGCAAAGAGAGAAGCAAAGCTTGCTTAGTCCAGGAGAAGGCATGGGAAATTCTTCACTTCAATTAGCAACTTGAAAATGCCACGTGGATCCTCAGGAAAGGAAACCACACTTTCTCCTTGGCCTTTCCAGCTCTTAAAAATCTAGCAGGCATTTTTAAAGTTTTCCTAAATTGTTAGGAGACACTTATTTTCTTGCAAATTAATTCTTTTTAACTCCTTATGATAGCTTTGAATCCCATAAAGAAAGATGAATTATCACATACTGAGCCCAAGCTGTGACACAGGAGGAGACAAATAGAGACCCCCACTGTGTTTAACAATGTAGAAGAAATTCCAGGCGCAATAGAAAAATTTTCTGTCCTTTTTCCCCAGACCTCGAAGCATGTGCTCACGGAGGTGAACGGTGGAGGGCACTCTTGCTATGCTCAACACGCACTGACCCGAACACTCCCTCACTCAGTGGCCCACGTCTCAAATTTGTTAAGTCATGACCACCTGTGGCACAGGCTCCAGACATCTTCTGTGGAAACCTTTGCAGTTTTGGTCTACGTGGTGAAGCACCAGGGACAAAAGCAGTTCCCTCCTGGCTGGGGCGGGGGACCAGCACAGCTGGGCTTCACTCTCACGGCTGCCTGACACGGCCTTCTGGTGTTTGCCACAGGTCAGGGCTGCACAGTGGTCCTCTCCTTCACCCTAACAGAGCTTGCACACACCACCATCTGCGCCCAGCAGAAGCACCTGAACTACCATGGCCCAGGTGAACAATTATAATCACAATCTGGTGAGGGAGTGAAAGCAAGACTTTGCCGAGTCACTTGTGATTGAGGTGAAAAGGTTTAAATATGTGAAACTGAGCATCTGTTCCATGATATGCCTCCTTGAAAGTGCCCACATGATACCCACACACTGGCCATTTTGAAATTCACTGTGCACAGAAATAAATAAACAGCAAAAACCAGTTAGATGTGAACCTCTGCATCTAAACGGCCCTAGAGGGCACCAGCTTTGCTGTGTCCAGGAAAAAGGCTGCAATTGGGTGTAACCATTAGGCTGCCTGCACCTGGAGTCAGGTGAGGAAGCCGCTTCCGTCACTGATCACCACTGTTTCTGTCCGTATGGAGAAGTTTGCACATATGCAGAAAGTCATGCTCAAAAGCCCTGCCCTGCGGTTGAGGCCAGTGACTGTGCCTACACACAAAGCACACAATAGAATTATCAAACAGCTCAGCTAAGGCCACTCTCAAGAAGAGGACCAGGCACGCTGAGGATCAAGGAAGACAAAGTGCTGCGGCACCTGCAGGGTTAATTAAACAGTTCAAGACGCAACAGCTACACAAAAGAAAGCCAGTTTCTCCTCTTCCAAGAACTATAAACACTTGTGCTGGACTAGATGGCATTTGATAAGCTGTGCTGCACGGAAGGAGCTCTCGGGATCTCTAGTTAACACTCAGATCCAATGTTCACACTTAACAGAACAGTGGTGAGCCCTGCTGCCAAGGTCAACAGCACAGATGCACTAATTGCATTATGAGCTTGACATCTAGTGGCCACCCCTGGCAGGGCAGAGCAGGCCAGGGCCGATCAGCAAGGCCTGCTGAAGCACTCTTCACTGCCCACCTTCAGGGAGAGCCCCAGGGCTGCCAGTTCTCCGCACCCACCTTTCCACAGGCGGTGCACAAAAGGCCCTGTATGGCTCACCGCGTGGCCGATACACTCACAGAGAATGCAAAGGGGACAGGGTCCCCGACAGCCGCAGAACTAATCTGGGACTGAATGAGAAAGACAGGCCCACAGAGGGAATGTTTAGACCCACACTGGCATCAGAGGCCCCTCTGCGGACATTGCTTCAGCCCCCAAAACGTTTCCCTTTAATTAAGAAGCAAATCAATCTTAATGTCCAACACAGACATTCCATGTTTTTTGTTAAAATTAATATTTTACACTTTTTGTAACATGCCTTGCCTTATTTGTTTGCCTGGTAATCACATAGTTAACTGCACTTGAAATTATAACCTTGAAATTATAAGAGAAAAAAATTAAGGTTTTTTTTATTTACTTAAAGTAATATCAAAACATTTGATTTTCACATGGGTTTTACTTAAGCTTAATTTTATATGAAATATGTAGCAAGTTAACATATGCAGTAATTACAGAGCGGCCCCACAGCAGCAGAATTAGCTTACATCTTCAGGAACCCAAGATATGTTGGTCTTATTCTGGCAATGAGTCAAGAAATCATGTAGAAAAAGTCAATAAAACAGCAAAAAAATCAAACAACACCCCTGTTATCACAGTATTCAGAAATTATGCTTCTTAAAACTATCTTGCAGCATTAAGAGATGGTGAATAACCTCAGCAGCAGTTAAAAAGGGTTTTAATTCACTTAAGTAAAAGCCTATGCCCATGCTTACCTCTAAGGATGCTAACTTCCTTCTGATGGCCAGGCTACAGAGTGGAAAGCATGGCTGTGCCTGTCCTGCACCCCAGAACAGCACGTTCTCAAGGCTACCTGGACAGGAGCACAGAGCTCCTCAGAGACTGCAGCAGGAGGTGAAATCTGACCCACTCTGCCTGCTGTCCCCACCCCTTGTATACAAAAACAATACAATAATAACAATCCGCTTGCTAAGTCATTCCTGCCGTCATTCCACACCTTTTCCTTTTTCTGGCACACAACATATCTATACCAGATTGTGCATATGCTGCAGAAATTCACACGGCATCGTGTGCAAGAATGGCCTGACCCTGTCCCATAACCTCTCTCTGTAACACAGAATTCTCTGGCATCCTTTCTGTTGATCACTGGAATATTCATTTAAAAATATGTTCAGTTTTAAAAATGTTATTTAAAAAAGAAATGTTTGGAAGTTCCTTTCCTCCTTCCCTTGGTTACTTTCCACCTTTCATGTTTCAGATAAAAACAGTCTGCCTATGGAGGTTAAAAAGTGGCTTCAGTATTGTCCCCTTTGGTATGCTGAATTGTAAATGTGTGTGTGTGTGTGTGTGTGTGTGTGTGTGTGTGTGTGTGTTTGCGTGCTGGGGATGAAGACAGACCCGCATCTACAGATGAAAGAAAAGGACCTCTTCACCCATCACGGTGGCCTTCCTTCCCTGCGAATTCCACTCCATTGGTAAATTCTTAGGTCCTACACTCACCACATTTGAAAGGATTTTTAAAGATAGCCATTTTCTGTAGGTTGGCAAAACACAGATACTTGGAAGCGTTAAGTGCCAACAGACAAAATGCAGGATGGAAAACTTCAAACTGTTATGTTCTTTTGTTCTTCCTTAAATACTTTCTAGGGGCAGTAATAGGCATCTTCCTTAAATTGCATTTTATGGGACACAGAATAGCAATATTACACCTTTAAAGTTCTTAGTGGGAGTTAAGTGCTGCACTGTCACTGAAGTTTTAATGAGTCTTTCTTAGAACAAAAATCTTCAGCTGGTTCAAAGGATGTCATTATTGGTAGAGTGGATTTAACTGAACCCCCCAATGCACCACATTTATTTCTAAAATAAGAATGAATAAATTAGCAAAACAAGAGAATTTAAAAGACAGTTTCTATTGGGAATGTAAATCTCAACAACTGTAAAATAGGTTTTAACAAAAAAATAACTTTAGACCTTTCCACGAATCATCTTTACTTTTTCTCTTTCTAGATCCATCATCATTTCATTCCTTCAGGGACACAGCACCAAAACTATGTTTGTATAGTGATTTTTCATTGCTTGGTTAAAAAACAAATTCTGAAACGTAAGTCACAAAAAATATTTTTTTATTGTAAGTTAATGTGATTATGCATTTTTGCCCCCCATTATACTAAAAAATTTTGCATATTGCATTTGATCTGCATGGCATTATCAAGAGGCTTCAATGTTACTGCACGGTAGATGGACCTATTGCTTTAATTAATATGTCATGCCTAAAGTGATACAAAGGAATTATTTACTTTGCTTCTAAAACATTGTAACTTAGCTCACTTATAACTTCATGTACAACATGTTTATTTTCACTGCATTTAACAAAATTAAAATTCTGAGATCTGATTCATATTGGAGTGATTTGGTTTGTACAACCATTTATCTCTTAAAAAGCCCTTTACTTGGTTATCTTAGAGTAACACACACAAGAGTATTCCCTGACTTCACAGGCAAGAGTATCTTTTATGCTTCATGAACAATCTGCTTCAGAACAATTAAGTCAGAAAGAACTTGCTGTAATAGTTTGCCTGAACTACCCTTCAAACAGGCAGGGAAGCTGCTGCTTTACTGCAGCTCACCCAGACAGGCTATTTTTGGCCTATTGCAAAATATGATCAGGAACTGTGGCAACTCGAAGATCAGAACCCGGAGAGCTTGGAAAACACAGGCCCGGCAAAATCTCCAGCCCTGCTATGGTGGAAAATCTGGATGTGGCAAACCTCTAAATAAATACAAGCCCAGCAAGGAGAATTCAAAATAGAAATTGTAAATAATTGCTTCATCCGAGGTTTTCAACGGCGAGCAGGCTGTATATCCTCCAACATGTTTACACTATTAAGTTCACCATGCTCACATTTCTGAAGTGAAATTAAAAATGAACAGCGGTGCCTTGCCTGTTAATTGTTAAATACAAGAGGTTTTAGTCTATTAATTAAAATATGCTTTAATAAAAGGAGACATTGCACATTTTGATAACGACCCTACAAAGCTGAGAAGTATTTACATTGTTGCATTTTGGGGCGGCTGTGAAAGCCGATTTTAAGCCATTCAGGAGCCACAATAATAAAGCTTTAAAATTCCTCACTGGGATGCAATGTAGTTCTTTTGAAGGAAAGACTGTCTTTCTCATTCGGCAGAAATAAATCCATTCATTTGATCATGTAGTCATTGAGGGCAATACAAAACAAACCAAGTGTGAGAAATTCTATGTGAAGAAGTAAACAAAACAAAAAAAATCCATTTCCATGACAAAAAGATTCTTTGTCCTTAATCTACCCAACATATGCAAGCGTTTCTTTTTAGCATATCGCCTGTTCCCATCTCGGCTGACTTGGATGCAGATACAGCTCCCTCACCTCCACAGCAACAAAAAGACCTCAGAGTCTTAAGTTTTATTTAATCCACTTCTTCCCTGGCCTGTTCCGGGCGTTTTCTCACTTTCTCTTTCCGACGTGGATATCTGCCTGCTTTGTCAAACTTTGCACCATGTGTGATAAACTCTCAAACTCCTTCAATATTTTTTCGCAGATGGTCTAATTCTCACAGTAAAAAAAAAAAGAAAAAAGATTATTATCTGCCTCTGAACAACTGAAATAGATGCATCACAAGAGTGGGACAGCCATTTTTTAAAAAAATGAACAAATTATTTCACACCGCGGTGGCTGAGGGATCAGGGGTCGCCGCGGCCGCACCTCCGCGCTCCTCCTGCCCTGCGCCCCGGGAACCCCGCAGGGTGCGCCGGAGCCGAGGCCGGGTTTTCAACGCGGTGAAGCGGATTTGGGGCGCCTTAAACATTGTGGTGCCAAAGTTCAGCTACGGTAAATTCGAATCTTCGCCAGCCTCTGACTTCCGCGGCGCCCGCCCTTCACTTTTGGATGTTTTGAGGAGGAAGTTCCAACCAGCGAAATAACTGAAAAGGTGCCTCCAGCACCCGATTTCGGTGCATCCATAAAAGCCACGAAGAGGCCTGAGGAAAAACTCGAAACCCACCAAAACGTGCTGGGGTCCTACCGCTGGCAAGGACCAGCCCCAAACTCCACAACTGTGCTCACCCCCAGCTTAATTCCCAAGTCGGCCATTAAGGGAAGGCCAAGGGACCTTTACTTTCCACTCGCTTCCGAACGGGATCATTGGATTTGCCAACGCGTTGGGACATCGCGGGTTTCGAGGCCCGAGGTCACCCAAGGAGGCCTGTCGGCGGTACTGGGAACGCAGCCTGGGATCAGGGAGGTCGCGCGGGCCCCTGGCCTCCCCGGGCGCGCACCACCCGGGCACCCGGACGCGCGGCGCCGAACAAAGCTGGCCTGGCGGCGGCCTCCCCAGCCCGCGTCCAGCGGTAGGTCGGCCCAGTTGCGTTCTCCTGCCCAGGGGTCTGCCCCGAACGAGGCCAGGGTCTGGGTGTATTTTGGAGGCGCTGTGGCCGCCAAGGCCGGCTCCACAGTCCAGCACATAGAGACCGGTGGCGGGGTGGGGGTGGGGGGCGGGCAGCGCCTAGGCAGCGACACTGACCCCTCCCGCGCCCGCCAGGCGAACCGGCCTCCGTCTCCAGTCGCACTGGCTCCCAGCTGTCCCCAAGCGGCCAGGCCACAACGCCCTCCGCGCGCAGGTCCCCAACTCCGAGGAACCGAGCCAAGTTTACTTGGCCCACAACTCTTTTCGCGGCCGCGCGCGTTCCGGTGGGGGACCAGATCCCCTCGGTCCACCTGGCCCAGGGACCAGGAGCAGCTCGGACACTGGCTCGCGGGAACGGGGGAACTTTCTCCCACTCCGAGACGCGCGCAGCCGCTCCCGCCATTCACACTTCCCAGCCCGGTGGACGTCCCGGATTCCCCGGCCACCCTGAGGTCCCCGGCCCTCACCGTGCTCAGGAGCCCCGTCCTGCGGCGGCAGCTCCTCGTCCGACTTGAGGTGTTGGGGCTTGGCCTGCTTGCGCCGAG